AATTTCAGACCTCCAAAAGTTAGATGGCCATACCTCAGATGCCATAGCCATGTATTGTCCTTCACACACGCTTTCAAGCACTTCGCCATTTCTGTCTGAATGTTCATCGTGAACATTCTGTTTCTCGACATTGGGACTCTGGCCAACAACTGTTTCTTCTCGTTTAACAGCTCTAATTGACGATTCACCATATAGACTTCATAATTCTTCTCCATCAGCTGAACCGAGCTCAGGATGTTACTAGTCATGTCTGGGACATAGTACACATCACTGATAGATTGCTGTGAGCCATTCTTTAGCCGGATGAGTATAGTTCCTCTACCTTTGATAGGAACTTTCGAGGAGTCTCCAAATACGACATTTCCTTTCACCGATTCATCCATATCCACGAACATGCTTCTTTTACCACACATGTGGTTGCTTGCTGCATTATCTAGATACCACATGTTGTCTCTCGGTTTTTCATCTCCTTGATGTGACAGCATCAATGTGCCTTTGACTTCTTCTTCTTGCACGTTGTTTGTTGTCTCCTCTACTTCTTTAGGCGGACTCCAACATTCCGATGCATAATGCTCGTACTTCGAGCAATTATGGCACTGGACGTTGGATTTATCACGACCTTCATTTGATCTCCAACTTCCTCTTGCGCGTCCACGACCTCTGCCTCTGGTGGACGTTTCATAGTTCGTGGTGAAATTTCCTCCATCTCTGCTTTGATATGCTCCTCGGGCTCTTCCTCTTCCTCTGCCTCGACCTTTGTTGTAACCTCCTCCTCGTGCACCTTCTTTCTCCTCAGTGGTAGCTTTTGTAGCTAACACTTGTTCTGATGATTCTTCATTTCTTTTATTTAGCCTTTCTTCTCTGGCTTGTAATGAACCGATGACTTCATCAACCGTCATTTTTGACACGTCCTTAGCTTCCTCCATGGCCACCACCACATAATCAAACTTTGGTAATAATGACCGTAGAATTTTCTCCACCACTTTGGTCTCTTCAATTTTCTCCCCATACTGCTTCAGTTTGCTGGCGATAGACTTCACACGGGCGGTGAAATCTGAAACAGATTCACCTTCCTTCATTTTTATTGCTTCAAAATCTCCCCTGACTGTCTGAAGTCGAACCTTCTTTACTGGTTCCACGCCTTACATTTCCTTTTGCAGAATCTCCCATGCTTCTTTGCCGTGGTAGCATCTGCTATTTGATCGAACATCGATTCATCAAGACACTGATGAATTAAAGTGAGTGCTTTCTGATCACTCTTTTTATTTTTTCTCAACACCTCCTTTTCAGCAGGAGATAATCGAGAATCCTCCGCTGGAAATTCGTACCCGTTCTCAACAATATCTCAAGCATCTTGGGATCCCAGCAAGGCTTTGATACGAATGCACCAATTTTTATAATTGGTTTTGGTAAGGTGGGGAAATTGAATGGGGAAACTTGATTTTTCGACCATGGGACAATCGTGATAACAAAAACACGAGAAATTCTGTTCTGATGTGGAAGTTCAGACTACGCTGCAACCACAGTGCATACTTAAGAATAACCCGGGCTCTGATACCACTTTGTTGGAAATAAAATAATTTATTTCCTTTGGTGGGCACGTGTATGGAATGGGGAGAATGGAAAGTTGGGGTTTTTATTTGGAGAGAATTGGATTGGTAGGAAAAAGGGAATTAGCATAGAGGTTTTTGTAGAGAAGACTTATTTTATTTCTTTGCTTCTTTCTTTCTTCTTTTTGGCTCTACTACTCAAACGTACATGGACAAGCCTATTTATAGGCCTTCAACTCCTCCTAACCGACCTCAACATGTGGTCTTTCTTTTTCTTCATTTTTTAATCACACCTAACAACTAACCTCATTTAATTAGATTCTACACACTTCTCCACAACTAACACATACAGATTTTTTTCTTCACACCAGTACACACCACACACATCACTTAGCTTCTAGGATTTTCTAATATTTTGCAGCTTTATTTAATTAAACTTTAATTAATTTCAACAGGACGTACGTCAACACATGGCCTGGACTCACCTTCGTCGAGCTCCTCTTGTTCATTTACGGATATGTTGTGAGCCATCGCGCACGAATGCCGCTTTCCCATTGTGTTCGGCGCTTCTACCACTTGGCTGTCGTAAGTTATCTACCATCTATTATTTTCTAGTTTTTTTTCTTTTCTCTTCGCTTTTGTTTTCATTCTAATACAATTATTTTTTTTTATTAGCACCACCGGCGTCATGGTCTGGGCGCAAGGGCTCCGGTGATCCGGCTACAGAAAATCGTAGTCTCTGGTTTTGTTATATTCCTCATGTGTGTCCGTGCCGTACTAGTCACAAAACTCTAGGAGGCACAGGATGCTATAGATGCGGCTGCTAAAGAACAGCTAGATTCTGACTTGGCGGAGGATAAGGTGAAGCTTGAGGCGGAGAAGGTAAACACGACTGAGCCGGAGAAGGCTCTAACGGAAGAGCAGGAAAAGCATGCCGAAACGGCAGCGGCGGTGGCGGAGGCGGAGAAGAAGGCCGCGGAGGCAGTTGAGTAGGTTGAGATGTTGAAGACTAAGGTGGCCGAGCTGCTGGAGGCCGAGGAAGCGAGAAAAGCAGCGGCGCCGGTGGAGAAAATGCTTGATTCGTAGGTTCTGGAAAACGAGCAATCGTTTAGGGTTAACTTATTTATTAGGTGTAAGTTTATTTTCTTTATGGATGGACTTGTTTCTAACGAAGACTCTTGTCCTCAAAAGTATTGGACTTTTTGTTATTTTGCATTAACAAACCTCATGTTTGCTTGTTCACTTTCATTTTCGTTTCCAGTTTTCTGTTTTCATGTGATAAATTTGGCAACCGAAATGAGAAAACTTGTTTACTTTTCATTCTGATTTCTATTCGTTTCCAACTATGAAAACAGAAAGTGGCAACTTCCTGCTGTTTTCGGAAACGACAAAATGTTGTTTTCACCTGTTTTCAACATCTGTTTTCTAAAAAACAAGAAACAGAAATGAAAGTAAACAGGCCCTTAGTGTTGGTTTGAGACTGCTGGGGAAAATTGAACCAAGGCTTGATTATGCAATGGAATGTGGGTACTGGGTATCCATTGAGAGCCCTTCTAGCGTGCTTTATAGCACTCATACTATAAAAAAAAGTGACCTGTTGAAAAGATAAACCCACTAAATGACTGATCCCACATTATTAATGGCAATCTTGTAAATAATGAATCAATGTATACAATTGTAGGTACAAATTAGAGTTGTACAATATCGTATAGGTACAAGTTTTAGCTGTACCATTGAAGAATTTGTTTCACAAAGTGTAGGAACAACTCAAAATTGTACATAGCGTGTAGGTATAATTTTAGGTTGTACCATAGAGTTTTTTTTTTTTTTGTAAAAGTGTAGGTACAACATAAAGTTGTACCATGGTATAGGTACAGGTTTGAGTTGTACCACAGAAGGATATTGAGAAAGTGTAGGTACAACTTAAGGTTGTACCATTAGTATATGTACAATTTTGCGTTGTACCATAGAGGTATTTGTTAGAAAGTTTAGGTACAACTTAAAATTATACCATGGTATAGTTACAAGTTTGGGTTGTACCATAGAAGGATTTTTAGAAAGTGTAGGTACAACATAAGGTTGTACCACAAATATAGGTACAATTTTGAGTTGTACCATAGAGGGATTTGTTAGAAAGTGTAGGTACAACTTAAATTTGTATCATAGTATAGGTACAAGTTTAAGTTGTACCATAAAAGAATTTTGAGAAAATGTAGGTACAACTTAAGGTTGTACCATTAGTATAGGTACAATTTTAAGTTGTACCAGAGAGTGATTTGTTAGAAAGTGTATGTACAACTTAAAGTTGTTTTAACATTCCGATCTTTGGGTTTAGGTTCAACCTGTAATAAATGTTTGGGTCGAATAGAATATGTGAATTCGTACAAGAAAGTGAATCAGATAGAAATCCAACAGTTAGAAACCAAATGACCGTTAGCCGTATGGTAATTAAAACATGAAGAATCGATTAGCCAAATTCACAACCAATTAATTCCCTACCCTTAGCACGCAATTAACAAGAGGAAATTTATTCCCTTTTCGGTTTCAAACTCTTTCCCCTTCGCCTCCTTATTATTACGTCTAAAACAGCTAAACCAAAAGCTAGTTAATCCCACGAAGGGAATGGTCAAGATTACCCACACCTGGCACGTTAGCAGTCTCAAGAGCCACCAAACACCTACATCTCCAAATTATTCTTCTCTTGCTCTTGATCTTGCATCTTCCGGCAGAAAACCCAATAACCCCTTCCATCATAAACCCAGCCAAAGCTAGCAATACAAAGAAGGAGAAGCCAGAGAAAGTGCGGAGGAGAAGCTGAACTTTGTCATTTGAACTCGCTAATGAGAGCAATCAAGTGGCTAGACATGGCTGGCTTCTTGCCGATGACGAGCTATGTCATAGTAGGGGTGGGCATCGGTGCGGTTCGGACCGCACCGTACCATATTGATATAAACCGCACCGCACCGCATTCAATTGGACCGCACCGCTTGTTCGACCGCAATGTTATTGGTGCGGTCAAACCAAATCGTATATGTTAGCGGTTTGGAGAGATTTGGATCGCATCGCATGTTTGACCGCAATTCATTATGAATTGAATAAAATTACTACTGTCATTACCAACCAAGACCGAGAGCATCAACACTCTGTTTCTCTAGTCACCGAAACAGAGCACCCCTTCTGCTAATGACTACTGGCGAACGGAATGAAGCTGTAACTTGGCAAATGTTCATGAATTATGTCGAATAAAACATAAATCCATCGAAGCAGAACCCACAAAATTAAAACAAGGCTCATCCACTACAAACACTTCCCCTCCCACAACTAGATAACGATTTTCAAACAGCCTTCTTCTGCCACAACCTGTCTAGAGCACTGTCTCCATCACCCTAAGAATTTGCCAAGTTGAAACAAAAGATTAACAATACAATCGAACCAGGAAGACACTAATGAATGAACAGCTACATATTGAATGAAAATGAGAAGCTAAGGAAGAAAGCGCAGCTTCTCAACCAGGAAAATCAGGCACTGTTGTTGGAACTTAAACAGAAGCTTTGTAAGGAAAACCCCAAAGGTTCATTTGTTTTTTCACAGAGGCCTCCTACTTATTGAGAATGCAGAAATGGCCTTTGTTTTAGTTTTAACACAGAAATTCCAGTTACCCAGTTAGCAGTAATCACCAAAGTTTTAATACTTTTGTCCTGCCCATGTTGCTGGTGACAATACAAAGATGAGAAATGTGCAATAACCCATTTCTTTTGCTGTACCTTGAGTACAAATGGTATGATCAAAGAAGAAAGCTAGAAGCTCTACAACCTTTTATATGAATAGTACAGACACATAAGAATATATAATGGAAGTAACCCCCAAAAGTAAAAGCCATAAAAGAATGAATGAAAAGAAGAGCTCTTATAAATGTAAGATTGAGCGTAAGCAACTGATCCAGAGTTATTGTTCATCAAACTAACAGAAAACTAAAAGAAACTAACCACGCTCTTTCCTCTTTCTTTCTGAAGGGTTTCTTTCATGCACAAATTCTTATTGAATCCAATTTCAAATTATCATAACAGGCTTTTGAACATACTGGCATAAATGAAACAAATATGTCCAAGATGAAACAGAGGTAAACATCGTCTAATTAATCAGACAAGCAAACAAAGAAACAGCTACAACTCGATATTCTGCCGCAATAAACAGGACAATAACACACACAAAAGAGAAACCAGACTTACCATTTCCCTACTGATTGATATAGAATTCACAGATTCACTACACCCTTATAAACAGATGAAAGAAAATAGTTAGAAAATGAGGAAATACACTAGCTAGTTAAACAAAGAGAGAAATTGATGGAGCTGTATCTTGCTTCCTGCTCCAAGAAGAGACCTAAAGTTGCAGCGCTTCCAACTATAGTTTGCTCGATGTATCTAATTTTCAGGAGTCCCGGAACCTAAATACACAGATTCAAAGATCAAGCAATAAGAAACCTCTAAATCAAAGTAAGAAACAACTCTGGATCCATTCTAAATCAACTGGGGCCTAATCATGGACACACAAGGGTTGCAGACTAACAGCATAACTGACTTCAGCACTAACCATTAAGAAACATCAGATTCAACATAATAATGGAGGTTTGAACTATTGAATGTGAAATAAATATTAAGCTCCTATTCCATTTGGTTGGTTGGAAACTCTCGATCACCAATCCTGATTGATATCTAATCCATACCCTTCTCGATCACCATTCCCATACCAAAGACAGCAAGATTCAGTACTCAATAGAAAGCAAGTGCTAGATTCAACAGGCAGTTTCAAATTGAAGGGGCAAATGGACAAAGGAACTACTGAAATCCTAGAAAGGGGCTGTCAGAGTATCTAGAATCTATGGCTAGTAGAAAACCCACAAAGGGGTACAGGGACAGCTAAAATAAGGAGAAGGAGAGAGCAAAACCAAGCTCGATCGCTTACTCGCTAGGTGGGTTGGTCGCCACCTGAGCGGAGGTGCGATGGGAACGCAATGAAATTTATTCAGATGGAACCCAAAGGAAGCCGATTAAGGAAATGAGGAGGGAGAGAGAGAGAGATAATACCAGAACAACGGAATGAGCCGGAGTTGAGAATCTGGACATCCGGATGAGGGAAGTCAGGGGAAGCGTCATCGCCGGTACTGGAGAGTGTTGTTGAAAGTACGCCCAAGCACTGTAGCTCCGAGGGTAGGAAAGGTCCAGATGCGCTCGATCTAGGAATTTCGGGAGCTCTCGCCTCTTGGTGTTGTGCAACGTCGAGACGAACGAGAAGATGTGGTAGCGAGGGAGAGGTTGGGGGAGAACGGGTAGCGAGAGGATGGGGGAGATGGCGGAAGGAGACCTGCCGATTTCGAGTGAGAGTTTACTTTAGCGGTTTGCGGTTTTGAACCGCAACCGTGCAGTTTTGGATTGACCACACCATGAACTGCAAGTCGCAAAAAATTCAGACCGCAAGACTAATGGTGCAGTTTGGCTTGACCGCAAAAGCGATTTGGTGCGGGTTAACCGCTCCAATGCCCACCCCTAATAAGAGGAGACAACAGGGGCAATCCATCTTAACAATGATTGAGGTTCATCGACGGAGTGCTAAGGTGAGTGCTCAAGGGGGTAAATTCTACGCCTTACGTATTTTTCAAGTATTTGCCTTATGACTCACTCCTACTGTCAATCTAGAAATTGGCTAAGTGTAACCACTTCCTAAAGCGTAGTATAGCGGGTTTGGGTTTTAATGTCAACCCGGGTCCTAGATTTGATGACTACTCAGCGAATTCTTGTTATCTAGCAGTGAAACTCTAGTGCAAGTCCCAATTAACAAACAAGCAAAGCAAGTTAAACGGTTGTTTTCAAGTCGAGAGAGGTCACCCGGATATGGTTACCCCTAGACTGCAGTTAAGCCGGATTGCAATTTACCAAGTTCAGTTTTCATGAAAGTTATACTGCGGAAGGTTCTTAAACAGTCTGAAGTCTCGACTAAAGGTCTCCAGACCCTCTCAATCTGAGTCTCTAGCGGGCGACTAACCTCCACCGGAGTAAACAGATTGAGGCCCTAACGAACCAAACCTCCACTACCGAAGTAAATTCGGTACAGAATAATGAATTGGCTCCTCGACTAAAGTCGCCAATTCAATACCTTCAATTAAGGGTGCTCTATCAACCTAGGCATATATTCTCTTTCTAGGTTAAAGCAGAAACAACAGGAATTTGATCAGGATTCAAGTCATTCAATCATTCAAGCCTCAATCGAATATAATCAAATCATAAAATATGTACTTGGGTTCATACAATCAGACCTAACACACAAATCTAGGGTTCTCCATACCCAGATGAATGGAAAAACTACTCCATGGAGAGAGAAGCAAAAGCAGATTCAGATGCGGAATTCATACTGTGAAGAATGAGTTTATGCTCCTGGTCGTCGATCGGCACTTCTCCAAGCTCAAGCCGGGCTCCAATGGTGATGAAGATCAAGCTATGGCACTTGGAAACTCTGGTTCGTCTCTTTCTCTCTCTAGGAATCACTCTGTCTCTCTAAAACACGGAACCCTCTCTCTTTTGGCTCAAATCTGCCTAAAAAGGCTGGCCCTGGGCAAAACACGGCCGCGGGCACGGCCGTGCTTTGATTTGGCCCGCCCGTGTTTTGACCCGTGTTAAAAACACGCCCGCGCGGGTCGGCCAAAACACGGTCGTGCCTAAATATGGGCACGGCCGTGTTTTGATTTTAGGCGCGCCCGTGTTTTTACTGCCGAACCTGTTCCCCTATATTCAATGCTTCGTTTCTCCCTCGTCCGGACTCCGATCACTCGTCGTTTGATCCCAGACGCTCATAGTCTCGTCCTCTTTCTTATCATAACAAGCTTGCATGATTCTTTGTCCATAAATGAGTCAGAAATCCATTCTTCTTCAGGTCATGCCCGAGTTTCTTCTCCCGAATCGCCAACTGATCTCTGATTGACTTGAAACTTGCGCCTATGCTTCACTTTATGTGCTAGGACCTGAAATGTGACAAAGAAACACAACCTAGCGTAAAATAGGCCAAAGAAGCAATAATGCAAGTTAAATGATCAAGAAACAAAGGGGAAAACATGTGCAAATATCGAGTCATCACCTTACGTGTTTAAGAAGTTGTTTTATGTAAAATTGTGTGCTTGCTTATGTTTATGGGTGATGTTGTGTGTTCTTTTGATTCATAGTTTGAAGGATATGTTTATGAGCTTTGAGTATTTATTAGAAGCTTTTACATTTCTTTTGATGATTAAGTTAAAGTGATAAGAGCAAAAGAAAGTCATAAGTAAAAATAAGTTAACCTCGCTTAGCTAGCCACTAGCTAGATGGATTCCTACCGGATGGTAATAAGTTCAACGGTAGTTGATCACTACCGGATGGTGATACGTTCAGCGGTAGTTGGTCAGGCGTGGAGCCGGACGGTGATGTGTTCTGCGGTTTCCATTGCCTACGTTTAGGTGTGCTACCAGACGGTGATACATTCCGCGGTAGTCACGCCGTAGTTTGACACGGGATGGTGATTCCGCGGTGGTCAAACCCATTGGAGGGGCACCCCACTTTGAGGGTAGTCATGTTTAAGAAGTAAGAAAGTAAGTAAAGCTAGTAGTGGCGCCAGCTAAGTCGAGGTAGGGGCCCCAATAAGATAAAGGATGAGATAACACAGTTTTAAGAGTTAAAGTTTAAAGGCGGAAGTATAAACAACTTCCATCAGTTTAAGTAAGTGTTTTAAGCAAAGTGCTCAAGTATTAAAAGTAATAAACGTAAGGGCGTAGACTGACCCCATCTCACTCACCAGTTTGAAGAGCTAGAGGAGGAGCTAGAGGAGCAGTTAGTGAGCAGCGAGTTTGAGGGCAGCCAGCTAGAGGAGGGCAGTATAAGCGTCACAGAGGATGCTTAGTCAAGGTTTTCATTAGCAACAACATTAGAGATTATTAGTTATTTACATTTATGATTATGAGTAAAGACTAGAGATCATTTTGAGATTTTAAGTATTGAGTTTGCTTATGTGTTAGGGCGTTGCTTTGAACTACAAGTATGTGTTTTCAGTATTTTATTTATGAAAATTTTTCCCGCTTCAATTTAAGATTTGAGTATTTTATTTTTCAATGGCATTTTAGTAAAAGTAGTATCCGGCCGGGTTAGGGGGTTACAGTTGTACCATGGTATAGGTACAAGTTTGGGTTGTACCATAGAATGATTTTTAGAAAGTGTAGGTACAACTTAAAGTTGTACCATAGAAGAATTTTGAGAAAGTGTAGGTACAAATTAAGGTTGTACCATTAGTATAAGTACAATTTTGAGTTGTACCATAGAGGGATTTGTTAGAAAGTGTAGGTACAACTTAAAGTTGTACCATGGTATAGGTACAAGTTTGGGTTGTACCATAGAAGGATTTTTAGAAAGTGTAGGTACAACTTAAAGTTTTATCATATTATAGGTACAAGTTTGGGTTGTACCACAGATGAATTTTGAGAAAGTGTAGGTACAACTTAAGGTTGTACCATTAGTATATGTACAATTTTGAGTTGTACCATAGAGGGATTTGTTAGAAAGTGTAGGTACAACTTAAAGTTGTACCATTGT